GAGGGAGGGAGGGAGGGAGGGAGGGCCCAAAGATGAATTCGAACTAGAAGCGCATTACCATCTTGTTTCTTCCACATGGATGCAGCAAGAGAGTTGAGAGGGCTGTCGTTGTTAGGCTCTGCATGGCACGTCATCTAAAGGGCAGGGAGGGGGAGAATACCTCCAAGAAGAGAGCGGAGTGAAAGGAGCGTCGTCCTGACGTCATACACCGCCGACCACTTGTCTTGGAGGATGTCAAGGCAGATGCTGCCGTAGACATCGACGTTGGGATGGAAGCAAGGAGTGATGAACTTGACGGTCGGAGGAGCACAAGGATAGTTGGACGGGAAGACGAGAGAGAGCTCATAAGCAAGCCCTGCAAGCCTCGTCACCGAAAGGATACAATGTCAAGAGAGGAGGACGTAAAAGATTGAGCATGGAGTAAGAGTAAGGAGTCAAAAGGAGTAAGGAGTAAGGAGCAGAGGAGCAGAGGAGGAGCAGAGAGTGAGGAGGAGCAGAGAGTGAGGAGGAGCAGGAGTTGGTACAGGGCAAAGTGATGTCAAAGAGAGGGAGGTAGAGACATACCCTCATATGGCGTCCCTTCGGTTCCTTGAATAGTCGCCTTCCAGTTCAAGATGTTGTCTACGTCAGGAAATGCTGAGATTCCTTCGTCTTGACTCATCATGAGGGTCATGAGCTCCTTCTGCAGTCTCTTGCAAGCGTTTGCTGAATCTCCCGAAGCCATGGCAGCCATTACGAGGAGTTGAAAATAGAGATGCTAATAAACACTGAGGAGAAAAAATATTTCAGCTGTGTTCGCAATGACATGAGATTGTTAGTTGGTTCCTTGAGACAAATTTCGTCATTTTGATACAGGTGATTTTTCGTCATGTAGATACAGATGATACTTGGTCATGTTAATACAGATGATGGGTTTGATGTTAGCAAGAATGACGTCTACAGTTGTGAAAATGGACAAGCTTGACACATGAGGACTCATCAAAGAACTGACTGCCACACAAGGTTAGACGTTATTGGAGGGAGTTTACAAGGCTCTGAAGAAGATATGGCGGAGCTTTCATGGATGGATGGATGGATGGATGGATGGATGGATGGATGGATGGATGGATGCCGTTGACAAGACCTTTCGGACAAGACCTTTCGGGCAGGGGAGAGCGTTGAAGGGATGCCACCTGCAAGCTTAACGGGACAGAGAGAAATTGGAAGTAGGGTGAGAGAATGAAACGATATCAAGGACAGGAAGAGAGCAGAAGACAGGAGGAAGCACGAGGGAGAGGGAAGAGAGATGCGAGGTATTGTGATGAATAATGAGCACAGTAGTACTACATGTACGTGTGCATGTCACGTCTCGATTTTCAAATTCCAACCACCAAAAGCGCAACCGAACTTTGGGAGGCGTGTAAAGATGAAACCGAATCGTAACGGTACGATTGATCAACGGTTGTGCAACGGAACAAGAATACAAAATAACGGATGTAACTGGAAAATCGCCGACTCTTCGGAATGATGTCGCTCCAATCTAACATGGAGGGAGGAGGAGAGGAGGAGAGGAGGAGAGATGGGGAATGATGGGGCTGATAGCCATGGAACTGAGCTGACATTCTTGGGATGAAGTCTTGTGTTTCATTTCCATGTTATCATGTTTGCCATCTTCATATAGACTCTCTCTTGAATTGTTCTTCCTTCTCCTATGATTGGTTGATATCTTTCATCATCTCTTCTCGTCTATGTCATTGGCATTTTCTTCATCATAGGCCATGATGTTTGAAGCTCGTGCTGATCCTGCTTGTGTCAGGGGGGAGCGGGGATGCCTTCATGGGGAGGGCTGGGCAGGCAGATGCCTGGAGGCTTAGCGCCCTTGGTGGTGGCTGCCTCTGTTGTTCTCGTCCTCGTCGTCTCGCAGATCTCAAGTCTTGATGCTGCTTCCTCCCTCCTGCAGTTCGCTGGTACGAATGCTCTGCGCTTGCAGCCTTGGCAAGGTGAGGGTGACGATGTGCTAGGCTACTACCGGCGTCCAGTAGGCGTTCGGCCTGTGCCGGTCATGAGCGCGCGGGATCTGGCGCTGCTTCAGAGAAGTTACATGGCGTACAAGACTGCGATCGAGAACGCGAGGGCGACAGAGGCGGAGATCCGGAGGCTCATGACCTCTTACAAAAAGTTTCACCGGACTAGGATCGACCAGGATGACAGCCCTCTACAAGTGTATCAGCAGAGAATCACGCCGGTAAGGATCCGTTACGTCCGTCAGCTTGTTCGGCCTGCTGCTGCTGTCGATCGCATCGCTGCCCAGGCATGGGAGGAAAGCCATGCTCTACTGAAGAAGTTGCATGCTGAGATAGAAGAGGAGCAGGACAAGCTGGCAAACATGAACAAGCAGACCCAGAATCTTGCTGAACAGCATGAGGAGATCAGACAGTCTCTTTCAAACTTGCTCTTCTCTTCTCGATCGACTGCTCAGCAGATGGAGAACCTTCGCGACATATACGCTAAACAGGTTTCGAAGGTTCAGGGCGAGCTGCGAGATGCCGAGCAAGAGCGACAGAAGGCTGTGGAAGCCGCGAGGAAGAGAAGCGACGTGGCTTGGGGAGTCAAAGCTCGGCTGACGGACCAGCTTGCTCGCGCCATTGCATCTTCCAACCACTACGATCTCGAGGTCGAGCAAGCCAAGGCGTACAAGAGCCTGATGCGCAGTCAAGCTGGACGAGCGGCCGGTGAAGCTCAAAAGGCGAAGAAGCAGTTGGAGGCAGCGAGAGAGTCGGCAGCCAAGGCTCGCGAGGAGGAGGATGAGGCAGTTGCTCATCGCAGAGTAGATGAGGTGAAAGCCAAGGCGATCCAACGAGCAACGTGGAGGCGAGACGTCGCTGGCGAGAGCCTAGCGAGGGCCAAGGCGAAGCTCATGGAAACTTCCATGTCGGCAAAGGTGCAGGTGGCGATGGCCGATGAGGCTAAGGAGGATGCCAAGAAGGCTGCAGAGGAGGCGGAGCGAGCGAAACAAGCCTACCAAGATCGCAGAGCTGCTCTCGTTCACAAGGAAGAAGAGATCATAGACGCCAAGCTGTATGCGCAAGAAGCGGCAGCAGAGGAGGAGCTTTATGGCAGGAAATTGGCAGAGGCCCAGGCAGACCTGGAGAGGGTGATGATGGCTCGAGAGGAGGCGGTGAACGCATCCCGAGGAGGGCAGGAGGCGGTAGGGATGGCGGCTCAGGAGACGAGCTTGGCGATGGCCCAGGCCGAGTGGAAGGCGAAGGCGCTGGAAGCTGAGATAAGCGCCCTGGAGAAGGAGGTGGAGGAGAGCAGAGCAGAGATGCAGAAATCTGCTGCCAAGGCCCACGGAGCAGAGGAGGAGAGTGCGGAGATGCAGAAGAGGAAGGAGGACCTGCTCGAACAGAAAATCTTCTCCAACGCTTCCGCTGCAGCTGCCGTCAACGAGTTGTCTCTGGAGGAAGAGAAATCCTTGGCGCTGCTGCAGAGGGCGGAGCGAGTGGAGGAGGAGGCGGCGGGGAAGAAGGGAAGTGCAGAGGCTCTTTTGAAGACGGTCGATGGCCTTGCTGGCCTTGCCCGACACGCTGCTGCAGCTGCGCAGCCACCCATGGCGTTTGTGGCTCCTCCTGTCGCCCAGGCGTCTGGGAAGCAGACTATAGACATCCATGTCATCCCGCATGCGCCGGTGAGAGGAGGGAAGGGAGGGGGAAGGAAGGAAGAGGAGAGGAGGGAGGGGAAGGAAGAGGAGAGGAGGGAAGGGGGGAGGGGAGGGTGGGAAAGAGGGAGGAAGGAAGTGACTTTGGGGCAGGTGCTCGGGCCGATGGGAGAGGAGGGGATGTTTGCCTTCGACTCTACGGACAACGGATCCAAGAAGCTGAGAAAGGCCGGACTAAACGTGTAGTCAACTACTGCTGGGGTTCTCCTCTTAAAACATTAGATGAGTTTGTGACATGGTCCTGCCTGGGTCAAAGTAGCCTTCTATTCTTCGGAGGAGAGGAAGAGAATAGAAGGAGGAGGAGGAGAAGGGGGGAGGGGGAAGGGGGAGGGAGGAGAGAAAGGAGGGAGGACGGAGGGAACAAACTTCTGTCACTCAGAAACTACTCTTACAGCTTTAGAGAGAAAAGAAGGGATAGTAGATAAGAAGGGTAGTGGAAAGGGGAAAATGGGAAGAGGGAACAGAGAAACGTCTTCCTCGTTCTATCCGGACCATCGAATCTTAGTTGAGAGGTCAGACGGCAACAGTAGACTCACTGCCGAATAGAGTGAAGTTCACAGACTGATTTGAGCACCTCAAGTGTGTTCATTTGCCCGAGATGAGTTGATATCACCTCCCGTGGGTGGTTACGCTCCGGCGGTCTAAATGAAATGAGGTAGCATGAGGGAGAAGAAGAATACAAGACACGACATGACAAGACTGAGACAAGAAGACAAGAGAAGGACAAGAGAACCGAGGGATAAAATATGAGGCTGATAGCCATTGAACTGACTCACCGAGTCACCGTTTTCCCCACCACTGACTTCGAGTGAAGAAGGCGATTGATCGCCCTAAAATCCACTTTGAGTCCATGTCCGCCTCACTGTCAGCTTCTGCCGAGACTCGGGGCCTGCCGGGGGCGGCCGGCTAGTGTCAAAGGACAATTGCCGAGAGTTTTTACTACTATCTCGAGGCTGTAAGGGTGTACGAGGAGCTTTTACTCAACCCGGGGGCCGCCAGGAGCGAACTTGCTCGAGGAAGAGGCCAGCGGTGCTGAACTGATCGGCTATTGCTGGCCGCTATATTTTGTACCGGAAGCAAGTGAAGGTGATCCAATAAACCATAAAAACTTGGAGCTCTTCGTAATAAACATGCATCGATCCGATAAATCTTTATTACGTGGAAAAACAGACCAATTCCAATCTTTCCGCAAAATCAAAGTTGGCGGTGGATTATCTTGAGTACCCCTGGTGTCCTCTGACATTGGATCGTCGAAGAGGAGGGTACATGTTGTTTTCGTATGACAACCTCAAGTTTTTTGAAGCCCTGTGAAGGGCCGCTTTGCTCAGCGGGTATGCAAGGCATGATGCAGGTGAGGGTGAGAAAGTTGATGATCGATGCTTGTTCGCAAGTGACATCACTGCTGACAGATGCAGATGTCGGTATGGCTGCTTCTTGCTTGCTGCTCGGTAGCTGTACATGCCGATCGGCAAACATTCACTGTCGGATCAACCACCACGGTTGGAACCATAGCCGAGATGGCTCAACTCCACTTCGACCATGGCGTGAAGGATCTCAAGGCGACCAACTTCAAGATCTACTGGGGTCAGCTTGGAAACACCCTGACCAAGTCCAAGCAGACCAGCATTCTGTCTCCTGGGCATGTGGTCGAAGTTTACATGCCCGGCTTCACCGGAGGGTCGAACTTCTTCGGTGCATCACGTGGAAGCACTGAGAGCACTGAGAGCACGATCAGCTGGATGTCGCAGCAGAACAGCATTGTGATCTCTCAGTCTGTACAGGAGCCCTGGCAACAAGCCATCTCGAGCGACCTGTCACTGTCTGTGAGTGGCCCAGGAGCAGTTGGATGCATGGGAATCGTAGGCGATGTGTCATCGAACGCTTTCGACCTGAAGCAGCTCCGGGCGAATGTGTTTGACTACTGTGAGTGGAACGCTCAGCGAGAGATGCTGCGTCTGAGGCTGAGCAGCAATGCGCCTAGCACCGTGACAGGAGTCTTCATCAGCAAAGTGAGCATGTATCTCAACTATGACACATCATCCAAGCAGAACGGTCTGGGACCTCTGCCGCCTCTCGGAGGCATCAACGAGGAGTGGCATCAGATGGCCTTCGTGTCTGTCTACGAGAAGCCTGCAACCACATCGTCTGACTGCACCGGAGTGAGTCTTTCCGCCTTTGCCAGTACCACCTGCAGCACAGCAAACCTCGTGTACCAAGTACCGTTTGACAAGTACAAGTCACAACGCTTCGGCTCAGACAGGCCAAGACTTCCGGTGAGGAAGGAGGCTGGAGCTATCGGAGTGACCAAGAACCCCACGTTCGTGTATGCTGCCGCTGCAGGGAACACAGACGGTATCAACCAAGCCGTGTGCATCACTGTTACGATCGTACCATCCATGACCATCTACTCGTCTCCGACATCATCTACTCCCACAACTTTGACGATCTCCGGGTTGACAGGGTCTAGTACACCAGATCAAGTGACAGCCTTGTATCAGAACAAATGTCAATGTGAAAGCACTCAAGCAGGGCTCTTCCCAAGCATGTTCCAGTCTATCAGCTACGGAAACCAGATTGGAAAAGCCGACTTTGTCCAAGGGGCGGGCACCTTGACCTTTCAGCTCTTGCCAGGCATGTACATTCAAGCAGGAGAGGTTGTCATCTTCTCGTTTCAGCTGAAGACACCGGGAACAGTGTCAGCAGCATCGAAGCCCATCTCTATCTCGATGTCGGGCAAGTATTGCCAGATCTCTGACTTCTGCACGGGATCTACCGGACAGTCCATCACGCTCAACCCGATCACTTTCAGTCCCTCGACGAAGATTCTCCAGGCGGTCGGAAACAAGATCGGGGCAAGGATGTTCCAGAGCTCGTCTGACACAGGCTCCTTGTCGAACATGTTTGTGACTCTGTCTCCCAACTTCGATATCCAGACTTCTTCCATCTTGACCTTCACTGGTCTGTGCGGGACTCAGGAGTCTGGTACCAAGGTAAACATGGTGGGTAACAGGTTTGCTGGAGGCAATCCTTTGACGGACAAGTGCTCCAGCTCGTCTTATCCGACGGAGGTTGACATTGGAGATCCAAGTTTTGGATACACCGGGTCGACGATGGACTGGAGCCAGTCGTCAGGGACCCTGAAGCTGACCCTGACCCAGGCTCTGGCCGCGCGAGGTGACTATGCCTTCGCGTGGAGCTGGAGGGTATCGGATAGGGAGAACTCGGCCTGTACGATGACAGTGTCGTTGACGACTGGGCCGAACCAGGTTCAGAATGAGGCTGTCACGAACCTCGGAGGATCAGTGGGTCTTGTTGAGAAGCCGTCGTTTACCAAGTACAAGATCGGACAGGTTACCACTCGACCGGACGTGACAAACTACATCTGTGTGACTCTGAAGACCAACTTCAACCTTCAAACATACTTGAATGCAGGCCAGTACAATGAAGCAACCATCACCCTGTCCGGCCTGTCAGGCAGCCAGGCGCAGGACAACTCCAACCCGGACATTGACAACTGCCCATCTTACGACTGGAACACTCACTCGCTTGTGACACCATCAAAGGCCAGCACTGCATACTTCACCAGCGCTCTCACTGCTGGAGAAGTCAACAAGGTTGCAAACTTCGCAGCTGGCATAGCCAAGCTTGTATTGAACCCAGCTCAGAATCTCCCCTCAGGCCATGAGATCAAGTTCGCAATTCCTCTCAAGAACTCCAAGGTCGCGCAGCCTTGCCAGACGGTCACATTGACGTTGAATGCCCTGTATCAGAGCCAGAACAGCCAGGTATCATACACGACGACGCAGACTGTGCAGATGGTTGTATCCCCTGTGAATCGCGCCTTGCAAGATGGAGAGATGGATGGGGATGCCTGTCCCTTGAAGGTCTACGACAAGGGCTTCTTGACCCGGTTGATCACCCAGCAGACGCCTCTGATCCAAGAGAACAACGTACTGACCATTTCTCTCCGCTCGAATGTTGATCTTGGTTTGAATGGGTACGGTGCAACCATCACCATTGCGGGCTTGACGGGAACAGACACCACGCAGACATCTCTGACTGCACTATCACCGGCGTCAACAGACTACTACTCTCCGATCATCCAGAAGACTGAGTGGTCTCAGTCGAACGGTCAGATGATCATTCACCTTCCTTCATCTTCCACTTGTCAGATGCCCATCAAGGGAATAACGACCCACTGTATGATGGCTGGCTGGACCTATGTGCTTCAATATGCCTTCGTGAATGGCAAGACGCCGCAGTCAAATCCGACTGTGTCGATCTCAGCTTCGTTTGCCAGCGGCGAGCAGACCAACTCGCAGACGGCAACGCTTCCGCTTTCCAGCTACAAGAACCCTCTCTTCTTGACGAGCAACCTGTTCAACAAGTACGACATCGGCCAGTTGTATCCTGCGCCAGGTGCAGTCAATCCTGTCTGTGTTACCCTGAGGCCGAACAAGAACATTATCAAACAGACCAAGTTTACGTTGACTGGGCTGCCGATGTTCACGTCCACGTCCACAGTTGACTTTTACGATGAATATGGAATCAGCCCGCTCTCAAGCACGTCGCTGAGCGGATACTTTACAACGATCTCGGGTAACAACATCGCGAACAAAGCAGATTACAACAACGGAAACGGTGAGATCCAGTTCCAGTTTGTGACCCAGACGCTGGTGCTTGGAACCAAGTACAAGTTCTGCTTCCGTATGATCAACCCGAACTCTGCCTACAAGAACGGAGGATCGTGTCCATCGGTGTCGTTGCTTGTCAGCTCCAGTGACGCGCCGAGTGCAGCGCCTGGAGTGCAGACGTACACAATGAAGCAGGACACGGGCAAGAGAGTGTACGGATATCCATCGGTGCTGTCAAGCTGCGCGGGCTACATTGTGGACCCCTCGTTCCCGCATGCGACCATTCGATCCAGCTCCAACGTGACCTCAAACACTGTGTGGATGACAGTGGAGCTACAGCCCAACTACGCCTTGACTACCAGCCAGGCGGTGACGGTCTCATCGCTGACTGGCTTCATTGCCTCTCCTGACACCTTCCCCTGCTGGATCAGCAGGAATGGCGAGTATGTCAACGTGGCTTCGAACGCGGTCAGTGGAAACATCCATGGTGCCGACTTCGCTTCTACATGTACGTTCAAGCATAACGAGTTCAAGATGACTTACCAGCAGTCGCCCAACCTGCCTGTGTACAACCCTTACTTCAACGTCAACGCGATGAGATCGAACGGCATCTGCGAGATTGTTGCGCTGTCAGGAGGGTCTGGGTACACTGTGCCGCCTAGTGTTGTGATTTGTGGGTCTGAGTTTTACAAGAACTCAGTTTGCTCTGGAGGCAATGTGATGTACGGGGTCGGACAGGGAGCAACTGCCACTGCAACGATCTCGGGTGGCGCGGTCACTGCAATCACCATCACCGACCCTGGACATGGATACTACCTCACACCTGTGGTCATCATCTCACCTGCAGCAACTGAGACTGGAACTATCACTGCAGCAAAGGCGCAGGCTTATCTGTACGACAGGGGCGTCTACACGGTGCAGTTTCAGATTCAGAACCCGAGCTCGGAGCAGTCGGCTCTCGCTCTGTCCATTCAGGCTACGTCCAACTTCCCATCGCAAGCAATTGTGTCGGGATCGCAGACCAGCGGGTTGCAGATGACTGCGTCCTCTTCGGATGTCGTGCTCAACATCGTGCCGCAGACCCGCTTGTTTGCGGGCGACTCCTTGTTTGTCAACCTTCCTGCCTACGAGGTGGAGGAGTCCGGGCCTCTGTTTGGAGTGCAGTCATCTAACTCGGCGTTCGAGACCTTCACCTCGCAGCTGGAGTGGGAGTTGTTTGGCAGCTCCGAGGACAGGGCTAGGGCCTACTTGTCCAAGGGGTACATTGCCGATGGTAACAGGCATCGATCGGGTGATGCGGACGTGGACGGAGTGTTTGTGTTGTCACCTTCTGATGACGGCTACAAGAAGAACAAGGACCTCTGCTGGAGCCACAAGCAGTGCCCTTGGGGAGCGTCGGACTACGACGTCGGAGGGCAGTCGTCTTACACGCTGTCGAAGGTTCGGTTCGCGGGACCAAGCCCTCTGGGGTACACGCATGAGGCTTGCTACACGGCTGGCTTGTCTGCATCGGCATCGGACTACGTTGGTATGCAGATCTCGTGCAGGAACAACGCTTTTACAGCAGCAGCAAGCGGGTCATCTGTGACCGCCATCAAGGTCAAGTCTGCAGGGCTGTACACCGTGACTGTGCAGGCATCTGCTCAGACCGTGACGATCTCGCAATCAGATGCTGGTGCTGCTAGCTCTGCTTCAGCCTCGATCTCTTATCAGGTGGCCCAGCTCTCGCTCAACGCTGTGACTCTGGAGAACTGTCAGAGCATCACATTCACTGCAGCTGCTGGAACTCAGTTGATCGCTGCCAGCGCCCAGGTCGTGATGTCAGTCGTTGCTTCTACATCCGCACCCGCGTACAGAGTCGAGATCACCAATCCCGGGTTGTACACGAGCTTTCCTACTGCAACTTGTACTGGAACCACCCCCCCCACCCTCAACCTGTTCATGTCGGTAGCCACAGTCAGCGTAACCAGCCAGGGCAGCGGGTACGTGACCATCCCATCAGTGTTCTTGTCGGCCGCGCCTACTGGGGTTACTCAGACGACAGCACCAGTGTTTGAAGTGATCATGTCTACGGCCAACCAGAATATTATCACCCAGACGATACTCGATTACAACCCGTACTACTCGCCGACCCCTTGCTTCCTTGTGGGGCAGGAGTTCCCATCGTCTTTCTTGAGCGACTGTAGCATCCATGTGAAGGAGAACGTTGGCCGATACACAGGAATGACCGCCATGATCGGGTCCAACGAGTACTTGATCAAGCAGGGAGCAGGAGGCGTGTACTGGGTGGTCGACTCGAACGGCAACAAGCCACGGAACGTCGACATAGCCAACAAGCCCTACACCATCTACACCCAGTTGGAGCTGATCGTTGCCAAGAGCGCGAGGGTGGAGCCTGGCGAGTCTGTGTCGATCACCATACCTGGGTACAGGTTCAAGTCCTATCCCAAGAACGTCAATGCTTACATCACTCGATCCACCGACGACGCTTCCAAGACTATCGCGGAGAGGACGAGGTACTACTTTGCAACCACGCTGCCGGTCAAGAGCTCGTACGTGAAGGGATACGGAGTGACGGGGATGGTCATAACCGGCGGAACGCTCGCAGGAGACTGCAGCATCAAGTATGTGGATGGTCCTCAGAGCATGGGAGGAAACAAGCCGGAGGTACGATTTATCTCTGGGGCCACGTCCAAGTTTGAGATCACTTACGCGGGGAGCGGATACACGTCTCCTCCTCGCTTCATCGGTCAGTGTGTGACCAGCACGGGGACGACGACCTACTTCAACGGAGTCTTCTTGTTGTCGGGAAATTCAGGCGTACGACGCGTTGAGGTTGCAGTACAAGGAAACAACTGCCCCTCAGGAACCACTGTCAATATCGAGTCTCCGAACCCATCCGGATCATACATTGATGGCCTGACGGGGTTGACCTATGCAGGCCAGCAAGCCTCAGCCATTGTGTTGCTGAATGGAAACAGCGTGTCTCAGGTGGTACTCCAGAACGGAGGTAGCGGATACATATCAGCTCCTTTGGTTACTTTTCCGGCTACGTGCAATGCTCAGGCGCAGGCGTACATCTCCCAGAACTTCTCGTCGAGCATTGCGATGAGGTACGAAACAGGCAACACCTTCTTGTATGAATGGAACAGAGAGCAGACTGACACCTTGACGGGCCTGTACTCGTCTGAGTTCTCGTCTGTCTCCTTGTTTTCTCTCGAGACGGCGGCGAGCGGGTCAGCCGAGATGAACTCTGGTTACGTGGCATCGATTGCCATTACCAAGTCTGGTACAACCTGCACGAGCCCGACGATCACCGTGTCCGCGTCCGGGGTGTCAGCAGCTGCGCAAGCGAAGGCAGTACCTGTCACAGCGGCCAACATCCTGCAATCCATCAACGTGACATACGGAGGGTATGGATACACGTCAGCACCATCGGTGACCATCACAGGTTGCGGGGCTGCGACTGCAAAGGCCTTCTTGAGCTACTCGAACGTGGATGTGCTTGTGGGGGGATCAACCTCGTTCTCTAGCTACAGAGGAATGCGACCACTCCAAGTGACGCAGTCGTCTGCCAACTCGTACAAGACTGTCAACCCGGTCACGTCAGCCATGGACTCCCCGGTGCTGGTCGGATTCAACGAAGCCTGCTCCAATGGTAAGACCGAGGCATATCAGCGAGAGCAGTCTACCTACAAGAACTCGCGTGTCACCGGAGTGACCATGTCAAGCGCTGGAGCAGGATACACCTTCAAAGGCACCACCGTGACCTTCTCTGCCTCGCCGCTGGGCTCCTCCAACATGTACGCGACCGCCAAGGGTGTACCGACGTGGTCGTTCCCTCCTACAACCACCTCCTCTGGGGGCACTACAAACCTGAACACGAACGTCTTGCTGTACAAGGGGGCTGCCCTGTCGACAGCGACCGGGTGCGACAACATCGTCTTGATGTTCTCCTACCCCGAGAGGGCCGGAGGAGCACAGCTTCAGATCCAGATCAACAGCGCCGCATCGAGGACCTCTCAGGTCATTCAGCAAGGAACGGGCTATGCCTCGATCCCGTACGTGTACGACATCAAGTTCAACTCCAACAATGGCCAAACCTTCTTGAAGGATGGATACACGGGCACCAACGGGAACTGCGTTCCCCAGTACTTTGCAATCGACGTCACTCGGCTCACCAATCTCGCATCGGGCGTTGGGTTGGTCATCGACGGCGTGTACATGACTCAGGGGGGATACGGGTACGACACTGCTCCCACTGTTACATTTGACTGCAAGTCCTGCACCATCACCTCACAGGCCGTGGCCACAGCTACTCTCGAGAGCGGATGCTTCAATGGTCAGTGCACTCAGCCATCCTACGCCAACGCCTTCTTCTCTCCTGTCAACAGAAACAACCTCCAGGTCTGCCAAGCGACCAACCCGGGAGCCAACGACTACCGCACGCGCAAGACGCTTCAGATGCGTGTATCCTCGGGTCAGTCTGGCATCCAGTACTCGTCGTCGACGGCGTACGCGGCGAGAAGGAACCGAGGCTTCATGGCATCGACTGGATCGCTGAACTTCTACGTCTCATCTCAGAACCTCCTGTCAGCCATGTGCACACCACCTCAGGTAGTCGTAGAGCCTCCGACGTCCATGTCGGGTGTCGCCGCACAGGTCGAGCTTGTCGTCGAGAGCACGAGGGCAGACAGCTATCTCTCTCAGAGTCCAGCCACAGCCGCTGATCTTCCGGCACAGGCCGCACAGTACAAGCTTGCTGTCCGCACTGTCAACCCGGGCTCGGGATACATCACTGCTCCCACTGTCTCCTTTGTGAGCGTTGGGAGCACCCCATGCTCTACGACTGGCCTGGTGGTCGCAGCGGAACTGCAGGGAGGCATGTCAGTCTCGACTGTGCAGACAGCTGCTGCTCCGTTGTACATCTGCCCAGCACAGACGTATTACCTCAACCCCACTACCATGACTCTCTCCACCACTCAGACTCAGGGGGCTGCGACCATCACCTGGGATCGTAAGGCCAATGCCCCATACGTGGTTGACGGCGGCTACGGGTACTCGTACGGCACCCAGCCTGTGACTCTCTCGTGGGCATCGTGCGGGGCGACTACAGTGGTGATCTTCTTCGAGGACAGCAAGTCCCTGGACGGCCTTGCGCCGTACCCGTCGTTCTGGCCGGGAGACATGTCGGTGGATCAGTCTACCTGGAGGAATCATGCGGGAGAGATCACGGGCGTTGACTTCATGTACGAGTCTAAGCACTTCTATTCCAACCCGACGGTACCGACGCCTCAGACCTTCTTGAACGTGAACATCGCGGCTCGAAGCCTGAAGCAGGCTGGCTTGTTCTCATCGAGATCTAACGATGTGCGGGCAGCAGCCAGTATCTCATTCGCCGTGGAGGACGCCTCCTCTTTCAAGGCAGGAGATTTGATCTTGATTGATAGCGAGATCTTCAAGATTGGAACGGTGACCGGCAACACGATCACTGTGAGCGAAAGAGCGCTTGGAGGTACCAGCCAGTCGCAACACTTTCCCGGAGCGAGTGTCGTCTTGTTCTTTCCTGGTACGGCACTCGAGAAGGCTGTCCTGACGTCAGTTGCGGGTACGGTAGAGACGATCTATGTGGCATCGGCAAGCGGGTTTGCCGTGGACGAATCCGTTGCAGTCGATGACGAGTTCATGCTGGTAGCGAGCGTTGACACGACCGCCAACACTCTGAGCGTGTACAGAGGATACACACAGGCGGAGGGAACCGAGACTCCGTCACATCCAGCAGCAGCCCTGGTGGGACTCTTCAACCCCAAGGCTGCAGTAGCCAAGACCTCGGCCTCCATCACAGCCACCGCCACGACTCTCCCGGTCTTCACCACCAGAGGCTTCACGGCCAACACTTACATTCAGATTGGCAACGAGATCATGCTGATCACTGCCTTGAACACGGGCTCGTTCACCATTCTCCGCGCTCAGGCTTACACTCAGGCAGCATCGCACGCGTCTGGGGCCGAGTACACGGCCGTGAGCGTCGAGACAGTCTCCCTGCTGCCCATTGCCTTGAATACTGACCTCTCGATCTCTGACACGTTGATATCGATGGGACCGAATGCGGGCAAGACAGGAACGCTGCCAGCGCAGGGCACGAACATCCTCGTGGAGCAGGAGGTGATATACGTTTTGTCTCTCAACAAGTCTGCAAGCACCATCACTGTCTCCAGGGGCCAACAAGGTACCACGGCTGCCGCGCACAATGCGAATGCGGAGATTGTGCTGTCGATCAGCGCTCAGTACCTGAGTGAGACCATCATCGGGGCGACTGGCGTGCTTCAGTCCATCTCAGGCAGCAACTCTGGCTTGTACGCACGTCCTCTCATCACCAACCCCGGCACTACTGATGCTACCCCGATGTTGTACCTCGATGGCATCGCAGTGATCAGCAGCCCATCCAAGCTTCAGAAGGCCCCTGTGCTCTCCCTCAACTACCTCGCGCCTGCCCTCACCCCCTTTGGAGTGAACCAGGACCTGATCGTTTCTTCACTGTCCTACCCTGTCATCTACAACCCGGCCAAGTACAGCACCGACCCGCTCTACTACCAGGACAGGATGGACGGATATGACTTGATGCGTCCAAACTCGCCTGTTCTTGAGAGCAGCTCCAACCGCATCAACGGAACAAGCCCGGTCTACATCCTCGACTCTTTTGGACAGATGCTGGGCGATCACGTGGTTGGTAGTGAGAGCATTGCCGTGACCCTGCAGGCTCGGACCTCAGCTATCTCCACAAACCCCGTGTTATCCTCGACTGCTTCGTCGACCTTGACAACCAAGGCATCGTACAAGGTGACTCAACAGTCTTCTAGCCTGGGCAGCGTGTGGGGGGCTCCTTCCAAGGTCTACTCGCCTTTCTTGGGCTACTCCATCAAGTCAGTGGCGGCATCTGGGGTGCAGTCACCAGCCACGCTCTCAGCACAGATTGACACCACCACAGTCACTGTATCTCTGACAGCGGCTGTCGCTTACATCACGGTAAACAGCTTCATCCGCATTGACAATGAGGTGATGAAGGTCTCGGCTGTCACTGGAAATACCCTCACGATTGTCCGCGCTCAGCGGTCAACCTACGCAACCACTCACGCTACGAACGCCAACGTGTACTCAGACTGCATCGGTCGACTCTATGCCGAGCCGAGCCTGGAGGGAGGAGAGCCGGCTATCCTCGACTTCAGTGGGACCTCGGTGACGGTGGTATCGGGAGGCAGCGGATACTTATCAAGCTCACATGTGTACGCCTGCGGGAGTGTTACGAGATGTGACTATGCTGGAGCTCAGGTCAACACCTGCTCGCTGACCTTCACTGCCAGTCTCGGGCCCGCTGTGACTGAGGTGTATCTGAACCATACGGTAGCTACGAGAGCTCTTGGAGGGCAAATGACCGGCCTCACTTCATCCAGCAGTCGATTCTTCTTGTGGAAGACCCGGCCGAGCAAAGTTTCAATGGTCGTGTCGTCTGCTGCATCAAACACTTCCAACTCCTCCAACAGCTCCACCGTTGTGGAGGCTTTGGAGACAACTCCATCTCCTACCACCAGCTCTTTTATCCATGCGGCGGATGTCACAACAACACCAGCTGGAACTGGAAAAGCAGCGTCTGAAATTCCATTGCAAGCAGCGAGCGCGAGTAACGTCGGGGTAGTAGTGGGTTGTGCGGTAGGAGGGGTGATAGGAGCAGGGCTGCTGGGGTTCTTGACTCACAAGTTCGTGAGGTACCGAGGGCGAGTCAAGGTGCAGGTAGACGAGATGACTTGATGACCGCCAAGGCTTCAATACCATGCCCAGCTCACACTCCAAGGGGAGGCCATCCGAATTTCTTCTTTCGTTCTTAAATTTCAATAAAGGTGTTCAAGGCTACCATGCTCAAGTTCTCCTCAACCTTCTCCTGATTTGTCCAACTCCTTATTTTAAAACATTGTGGATTGAAAGCAGGCTTGTTCTTGTTGGTGTTAGAGCTTTCTTGGTCTCATCAGTACATGTAGTTTGGTGTCATGAACACATTACAGACTTGAAAAGATGTGAGATCCATTCCTGTTTACGTCTCGCAAGACCGACCTTTCATGGGCTAGTATCATAAATTCAGGTTCTGACACTAGTTACGATGTTTATAGTCATGAGATTCATAGTATCATAAAATCAGGTTCTGACACTAGTTACGATGTTTATAGTCATGAGGTTCATAGTATCATGAATTCAGGTTCTGACACTAGTTACGATGTTTATAGTCATGAGTTCATAGTATCATGAATTCAGGTTCTGACACTAGTTACGATGTTTATAGTCATGAGGTTCATAGTATCATGAATTCAGGTTCTGACACTAGTTACGATGTTTATAGTCATGAGGTTCATAGTATCATGAATTCAGGTTCTGACACTAGTTACGATGTTTATAGTCATGAGGTTCATAGTATCATAAATTCAGGTTCTGACACTAGTTACGATGTTTATAGTCATGAGGTTCATAGTATCATAAATTCAGGTTCTGACATTCATTGTCTACAAAGATCGGATCAGCATTATCTCACCTCGTTGTACACCTGACGGAAGTTGCTCTATGTGCTGTCGTAGTGGCTGCACAACCCGCATGTTGTCACGAAACAGTTTGCCTCAGAGGAAAATGCTGGACACAGAAAAGGCAGCAATGCCTTGAAACACATTATTTTTGCTGTCTTTTCTTTGTTGAGTAAATATCAAGATTTTGACTATTTTTTTTTCAAATCCAGGCGAGGAGATGGCTGAACGGGAGGGAAAGAAGAGAGGGAGAGAGGAGAAGGAAAGCAGGAGCAGCAGACCGCAGAAAGAGAGACTTGTCAGACGAACGTTATGCGAACACGGGAGGGTACGATCGCAATGCAAGGGATGCCATGGAGGAGGTATCTGCGACCACGGCGAGGTCCGGTCACGATGCAAGGAGTGCGGGGGAGGGAGCATATGTGAGCACGGGCGGCAGAGAACATCATGCAAAGGCTGTGGAGGAGGAAGCATATGCAAGCATGGTCAGGTACGATCACGTTGTAAGGAATGCGGGGGAGGAAGCATCTGTGAGCACGGGCTACATCGCGCATCCTGCAAAAGATGCGATGGAGGGAGCATTTGCGAGCATGGTCGGATACGATCACAGTGTAGACAGTGCGGAGGAGGAAGCATCTGCGCGCATGAGAAGAGGCGTTCACGATGCAGGCAGTGCGGAGGATGGAGCATCTGCGAGCACGGAAGAGCAAGATCAAGGTGCAAAGAATGTGGCGGCGGAAGCATTTGTCTGCATAAACGAAGGCGATCGCAATGCAGGCAGTGCGGAGGAGGAAGCATCTGCGAGCACGGAAGAACACGATCACAGTGCAAGGGCTGCGCAGGAGGAAGCATATGCGCGCATGGGCGGCAGAGATCGCAGTGCAAGGAGTGCGGAGGAGGGAGCATATGCGAGCATGCGCGGAGACGGTCACAGTGCAAGGGCTGTGGAGGAGGAAGCATATGCAAACACGAGCGGAGACGGTCAAGCTGCAAAGAATGCAAGCAGCTGCATGACTTGTATTGACTTGTAATATCACATGAAACCAAACTCTCATCAAACCTCCTGATCCGAATAGGACAATAAGCTCCTGTAGATCAGCGACCGCGTTGGTCTCGTTGAAGACTTGCGCGTAAACGTCATCGATGTCCACGTACAGACGTCTTCTCGAGGCATCCAGCGACCCTGACGGATCGAAGAGCAGGTTGTCCCAGTTGAACTCGAACCATCGACCGGTGTGGTGAGAGAGGAGGTGAGTCGACAGAAGCGCGGACAAGCTCTCCTTGTACAACTGCTTCGGCTGTCTTCTTATGTGCTTCCTCTGCGCTATGAACATCGCACAGCATGACGCAAACGGGATCGACCTCCCGCTCTTTGCTCGCCCGAGTCTTGCGTGTAAGGATCCGAAGAGCCTCTCGGACTGCTGGAATACCTGATGAGGCTCTTCCCATACAAGCCGCCGACCCCTCCGAGACTTCCATCGCTCCGGTAGTGAGATCACAGCTTGATAGATCCTGTCGAGCGAGTCTTGACCGGTCATGTTATGAAGAGATCTGTTCGTCTCTCGCTCGTAGTCGTCATGCACTGCCTCGTCGATCCGACGGGCTTCACCTTGTGACTTTCAGATCCCTGGTAGGCTGGCAGGCTTGCGGTAGGAGAGGTGAGTCACTAGAGACGCCTGAAGCAGTACCAGCAAGCCCGTCCCCGCCATCCAGCATGTGAAGCCGCCACGAGCGCATATCATTGCCGGAGTAAAAGATACAAAATGAAGAAAAAGCAAGCCAGGCCCGCCGGAGAGTAAACAATAGTGAAAGATCGAGGGACAGAAACATGGATATAGACCACAATTAGTCTTCTGCCACGCGCGCTCCCGCCATTTCCCCGCAACATCTTGACCAGCAGCTTGACTCCCCTGGACTTGTGCATGGGTAGCGCAAGAGCCCTTGCCGCCTGTAGGAAGCCGTACAGGACAAGGTGAGGGAGGAAGCGAGGGTTGCTGATAGTGACGCTATGCTGACTCGATGTCTTGCGCTAGGCTCGTGCTCCTCCTCCTCCTCCTCCTCTCCAATGTTGCTGTCATGTGGGTCTTTCACAGCCAGGAGCACGCGATAATGGCTGTTTTGGCTTTCGCAAAGTCAATAGGAGGAAGGAAGACTCTCTTCGATCCTGACTTCGACCCTAAGACGTCCAACCCAAGCGCTTGCAGCATAGGTGGCGATTCATCTGCTACCGGAAGCCGTTAAGAGCGAGTTCAACGGGTCGACTAGGGGAGGGCCCAACTTGTGCTTCACCAACCAGACCCTAGTCACGTGCCGAGGAAGAGAGCATGCTCGCTCAAAGTTTCAGACCTGCATGGACCCCCTGGCTTCGGCAGGCATATCAGCCAGCGACGGAGAGAGCTTGTGCTCTTCGACTGTCACCAGGTCGGCTGGACCAGACAGATGTCTGCGGTATCCGCTTCCTGAAGGGTCAGTGCACGTGGTGGTGGCGATGAGGGATGCGAGCTGGACTATGAAGGTGGTGGAGGACATTGCGTTCATGGGCTTGACCAACAGCATCGTCTACCTCTACCGGAGGATGGACGTAGGGATCAACCTGAAAGGCTTGCTAAGCTCGGAGCCCACTGCTGGCTTGCCGTGTGGCATCACTGTGGTAGAGAGAGCGTTGGTGCCCAACAGAGGAAACGAGGCAGCCGTGTACCTCTCGCACATCGAAGAGTTCTATGACAACCTGCCCATGTTGATGGTGTTCATGCATGACCATGGCATCGAGAGTTGGCACAGTCAGAGGCGACCAGTGTACAAGCGGTCCAGGGCTTACTACCTGGGGTTGGCGTCGCAGCTTGTGGACCCTAACACGCATCAGCTGGTTTATCCTGAGCTTGCAGCTCTGCCGTCTCATGCGGTTCTGATGGAGTTCTCAGCTACCGTGGTGTCTCTCAACAGCTGCTATGACACGATCTGGAGAGAGCCTCTCTGCTGGCAGCAGTACACCTTGAACTCGTATGAGCGGGAGACTAGACCCTCCATGACTTGTCAGGACAGCACATGACTGCAAGCTTGAAAAGAGTCGCCGGCTCTCTTCGACCTTCGTTGGGATTTCGTTCGCGAGCATCTCGCACGCTTTCGCATTGGGAGGAATCTCCAAAGCTTCTCTGGCAGGCGATTGATCGGTTCCAAGAGCTGCAGCATGAGCATGGGGGCCCGATGTCCGGCAAGTACGGCTCTGGTCCTGAGCTGTTCTGGTCTTGTTGTGCCATGTTTGTCGCTCAGCCTCAGCACATTCGACGACAACCGAGATCTTTCTACCGGGATGGCTTGCGGGAGCTACTGAGAACACACATGATCTCTTACTACACAGGCAGATGGTTCGAGTTCTCATGGTACTACCTATGGCATGACGACAAGACGCAACAGAAGCTCAGCAACAAGTCGCTCTACGTTGAGATCGACGATGTCTACGCCGAGGTCTTCGACGTCGCTCGCGGGTTTGAAGATCTTCATAGAGTGATCGAGGCGTAAGCTACCGTACCCCAGTAACGGTCTGGTCTTGGATCGAAGTCTTCTTGTCTGCAGCTTTCCTCGCAGCTCTTGCATCCATTGCTTGTCTCATCGATAGAGCGGACACGCGAAAGACTCGATGTGATGGTTCTCCGGGAGTTTGATTGAGACAGCCTCTTAATTCACTCCGACAGATGAACCTAGGTCGGGTCTCCACATGGCCCGACACTGACATCAGCTCGATAAAGGTGTAAAGACCGTACAGTGTTAAATCTATCTTACCTGATTGGCTTGCATACAGTCACAGTGTAGAGGAAGGAGAGGAATGTGGCGGTCTTTCAATGCGACCGTCGATGGTTTTGATCTCACTCGTCCTGAGTCCGAGGACGCAGCATACTGGGAAGCGGCTTGCGAAGCCGCCACGAGCACATGCCACAACTGAGGCTCCAATGCAACATGTTTCTTCCAGTTTTAACATGTTTCTTCCAGTTTTGGAGTCAAGAGGTTTGCAAGCCTGGCATAGCTTCAACATCATCTACGGTGCGAACATGTAGAAACTTCTTGTTCTTGATGAAATTCTCAAATGTGACTGGAGCGGCTCTGCTTCTTATTTCACATTTTCTGACCACGTTCATGAAGAAACATCGTATTTAAGAGACAAGCAAGCACAACGGATGATGCAGTGCGTCCTACGCTACCTACTGAGCGGCACGCGAGCGGCTGCGGTGCATCGATCAGGAAAAGCATGAGGGTGCAATCTAGCCTGATGAAGGTCAGTTCTACTGCGAAAACCTAGAAGAATTTCGCTGTCTTTCATACTTCCTATGGAATCAATCTGAGGTGATTTGCTTCTTTGTATATATAAATCATTAGTTAGAGAATTTAGTCTATTCATGAAAAAAAAGGTCAATAAAAAGAATGTCCACCAACCCGTGTGGTAGAAGGCACACAGACACTGAACATATATTTTCGTTCATTCCTGAACAGAGTGCATCCAATGAGGGAATATGATCGAATAACTAGGGAGAGTTAGATGCCAGGTTTGATAATAGGACGATGTAATCAAGTTAAGTTTTTTTATTGATTGAAATTGTACATTCCTGTCGATTTTGTGAAGTGACTTTTTTTTACTTCATGCTACCTACCAACTTCGATATCTGAACTGAACTTGCTCCACGCATTGGCAAATGAGTTCCGGGGGCCTCCCAAAATCATTCTTGCATCAACGACTTTCTTGCTCACCAGTAATGATAGATGTGCATCTAGCGCTGGCGTCGTAACCTCGTGACTTGCCAATGAAGTGTGACGTAAAAGTTTCTGTGCTGCAAGTCCTGAAAGTGCATACGCGTCTACCCCAAGGTATTGCACCACATTGCCCGGAAGAAAGTTTGGAACCTGTCGGCCTGTCAAGTAAATGACTTCCACTGAGGGATATAAACATAATGTGATACTCAACTTTTGTTTCAAAACGTCCTGTTCGTCGATCATGATCACATCGTCTTCAAGCACAATGTACCAATCGTCTGCCCCTTGCATCTGCGAAATTCTTTCCCAGACAAGTCTGTGTGATTCCCAACTTGCAAATTTTCCCTTGAATCGCTCGCTAGTGAAATTAAGGTGTTCATTCGACATTGATTGATTCAAAATGTCTGCGTCTACATGGACTTTTTCCAGCTTTGACACAATCTCCGTTATATTATGAAATTCAGCTCTGTTGACTCCCAAGTGCCGTATTACATTCCTGCTGATGTTGACACCTTTCGATGAAAGGCTTTCCAGTAAATGCTTTCTTCGATCTAATCGATGCCTGAGATTGATGTAAAATATCTTTGGCAAATGCTTTACAACAGGACAACAATCGGTCTGATTTATCAATTCACGATTGTACACGAAGGTCTTTTCGCATGTGCTCGACGGTGCAACCCACATAACTTTCTCTTCCTTGTCTAGGTCTGGACCCCTGAGCTCCCACGTCCACGATACTTCGGACTTGGAACGACTTATAAAATTCCCTGTCAGCCCAACACACCCGCTAGTGATGTTTTCTTGGCAGCGCTTCTTCGCCAACTCCAGGGAGTCTTCTCTTTCGATGATTCTTCCTCCTGCATAGAAACTAGAGTGCAAAGGGCCAACCCAAGTCAAATCCTTTGGCTGCAAACCATCACACGGGACTGGTGTAGTCTCAATCTTAATCGGAACTACTTCGCGTGTTGTCAACAGAAATGGTACCAAAAAGGTACACATAAGTGAGAAGACAAACATCGCTTGTATTGACAAGCTCTTCCATCGTCTGCTGCCCATTCTCTGACGTGATGCTGACCCAATCGCTGCATGCATAATCCGGTTCGCCATTCTCCCACCCCACCTCTCTCTCCGCCAGGCTCGAGTTTTTTTTCACTTGGTCATGTTTGTCATGCGTTTTGTGTTTGATCTTTGAAATGTCATCTGTGATATTGAAAAGTTACAGACATATTTCTGTATCCCGTTCCAAATGACCTATTTCTTCGCTAAATTGTGGTACCAGCATTTATCAGTCAATTGTCGATGACCTCCGCTGGTGTCATGCTGCCAGCTAGCGCTTGTTCATGGAAGCAGCGCTCAATGTTCGGCCCTCAGAGGCTGTGCATGGAATCCTGTCTGGTACCTTTGCAAGGCGATCTCATCCTCCGTTGTCGGCAGATGGGACTCTTTCAATCAGTCTGATCTGATCTGAAAGGGAGTAGTAGCGTCCTTACACCCCAGTTTAGTTGCCTTCGGGTACACGGCTATTCAGATCCTTGAAATTCTAGGTAAAACGTCGCAACGTGGGAAGGGTTCTTGGAAGGAAAGGATAAGAATGTGCATTCAGAATACATGAAGTGAGAAGATGAGAAAGAAATCGACCAACATTCGTAAATGGAAAAGGAAATGATAGATGATGAGTGCAGAAATGCATTCATGTGATCGAGGCGATGCTCACACACGTATTCGAGATCTTGATGTAGAATAATATGTTGGATGTGTGATAAGATTTTATAAAGTGTTGTGTGCTAAGACTAAACTCAAAAGCTTAGAGGGGGGGAGGAGAAATCATTGGAACCATGGGCAAACCAAATCAAACTGGAATGTGAAGACAGGTTTCTGGTAGATGCAGTAGTGAAAGGGAATAGGGAGGAAATAGTTTTCCAGATGATATGCTTCGTTCATTGCACGGAGTTGCTACATCATCAGAGATTCACATTCAGACCGAGATTTATTCACCCCGCGGTCAGGAATTCCTCAAACAGCTCCACCTACCTCCAGGCTGACACACTGACAACTACATCTCTTACCGCCAGCTCTTTTATCTTTGGGGTTGATGTGACACCAACACCAACACCAACCAGAGCCGAAAAACAGTATCTGGAACGACAACCGTGACATCTGCAACTCCATTGCAGGCAGCGAGCGCGAGTAACGTCGGGGTAGTTGTTGGTTGTGCGGTAGCAAACGTGACGAGAGCAGCATTTCTTGTTTGCCACATAAATGTATGGTGAGATCTTATAAGCATTCCAGTTCCCTACTGAGTGACATTGTCCGTTCGTGAGTTGATGTAGAGGAGATGAAACTTGCATTGACTGTGAAAGTCTCGGTTCGTCGATCGCATCCATCTTGGCCAGCATCACGTTGACTTTCTCTAAGCGCAGGAGGGAGGCAATCTTGTTGTAGATGGGCTCAAACTTCTGGCAGTGCCCGTACTATTGAGCATAGAACTCCACCAGCATGTGCCGTCAATATGGATGGCTTTCTCAAACAGGAGATACAGGTCAGGGGTAGCTCTTTGCTATCTCCTTCTCCTCATTCACCCGCTGAGAGATATCAGTGATCTCACAAACGCTGAGATATGTCAGTGATATGCTTGTTAAAATATTCAGTCGATATCTTACGACTTGTTCTCGCATCCTATATAAGTCCAAATGAGTTGCACCAGCAAGAGTTAACAGGGAGTTTAAGGTTTGAGCCACATCTGCGCCGCATAAACTGGAGCAGGTAAGGGCTTCAAGCGCTGTATGGGCTGAAGAGGATGTATTGCACTGCGGCAGGGCATCTCCGTGTTGCAGCGGGAGTGAGGAAATATTCAGTCTCGTCAGGTCAAGGACATCCATCATGGTTGGCTCCACGACACTTTCAATTAGTGCGTTGTCCAATCTTCTCGTTTCTGTGGGAGTAGTGAAACAGTTTGATGGATTTCATCAATTTCTGGGCAGTCAAACCGAATCGTCTGAGCTTCATCACTAGATTGAACTGGAGATTTCACCTGACATACGTTTCTGCTCTTCTTCATGATCAACCCTCAAGCACTGTCACTGGCTTAGTGACCTTCTGCCTTCAGCTGACTTCCAACTAACATTCAACCATCAATATGACACAGATTCCTCTCTCTCTTTGATGTTGAAGTGACAGTGCAAGTGGTATTCTGCATTTGTGATGCCTATTTTCACCGTGATACAGATGTTTGCTTGTGTTTAGCCTACTGCTTTCGATTCGCTTCTTATGTACAGCAGGTCGAAATTATCTTTGATTTTTACTCACGAAGAAAAAACAGGAAAAGAGATGAACAGAGCGCAACGACTGAGCTCGGTCAGATCATGAAAGAACTATCTATTCAACCTACATTCCATACGCCATCGGCTGCTGACCGTAGAGAGGCGTCTGGACGGGCATGGGAGCAGCAGAGGCGTAGTCGACAGGGAGAACGGGATAGGTCTGTGGGAGGTATACAGGAACCATCTCCTCAAGTGGAGGCTTAGCTACAGCAGCCGGGGCCAGAAACTTGTATGCCATGAATGCAAGGAAGGCAGCTCCGACCACTCCTCCCACCACTCCTCCGATGATGGCACCGACATTCGTAGAGCTTGATGATGGTGTGGTGGTAGTTGTTGTGACAGGTCCTCCCGGCGTAGAGGTTGGCAATACCAAAGAAACTTTTCTTGACTGCGTCTTCTGCAAGACGAACCTGCTGCTCGAGGATGTCAGACCAGTGAGCTGTCCTCCAAGCGCCCGAGTAGCTACAGTCTCATTGAGATACATCTCGCTCACGGCAGAGCCGAGAGTGGAAGTGAAGGTCAAAGAGCAGGTGTTCTCAGTCGCGATAGTATAGTTGCACCTTGTTGAACTGCCGCATGCATGGATCTTAGCGGACGACAGATATCCGCTTCCTCCTGAGACCACGGTGATGGTGGTTCCGTCAAAGTCCAGGACGGCAGGCTCCCCTCCCTCGAGGCTTGGCTCGGCGTACAAACGTCCAACACAATCCGAGTATACCTCTGCGTCTTGATTGTGAGTTGTCGCGTAGGTGTATCGCTGACCACGCACCACCGTGAGAATGACCCCAGAGACTGCTGTGACCTTCATGACCTCGTTGTCGATTCTGATGAAGCTGTTTACCGTGATGTAAGCGACAGCTGCTGAGAGTTCCAAGGACGTTGCTGTCGCTGAAGTCAAGGCAACTTTGAGCGTGGCTGGTGACTGCACCCCAGATGCCGCCACTGACTTGATGGAGTAGCCCAAGAAAGGCGAGTAGACCTTGGAAGGAGGGCCCCACACGCTGCCCAGGCTAGAAGACTGTTGAGTCACCTTGTACGATGCCTTGGTTGTCAAAGACGACGAAGCAGTCGAGGATAACACGGGGTTTGTGGAGATAGCTGAGGTCAGAGCCTGCAGGGTCACGGCAATGCTCTCACTGCCAACCACGTGATCGCCCAGCATCTGTCCAAAAGAGTCGAGGACGTAGACCGGGCTTGTTCCGTTGATGCGGTTGGAGCTGCTCTCAAGAACAGGCGAGTTTGGACGCATCAAGTCGTATCCGTCCATCCTGTCCTGGTAGTAGAGCGGGTCGGTGCTGTACTTGGCCGGGTTGTAGATCACAGGATATGACAGGGAAGGAACGATCAGGTCCGGGTTCACCCCGGTATAAGCAGTCAAGGCAGGCGCGAGGTAGTTGAGGGAGAGCACAGGGGCCTTCTGAAGTTTTGTGGGGCTGTTAATTACTGCAATGCTATCGAGGTACAACATCGGGGTAGCATCAGCTGTGTCGGGGTTGGTGATGATCGGACGTGCGTACAAACCAGAGTTGCTGCCTGAGATGGACTGAAGCACGCCTGTCGCCGTGATGATGGTCTCGATGAAGAACTGTGCCCCAATCGATAGCACAATCTCGGCACTCGCGTTGTGTGCGATTACTGTGGTGCCCTGCTTTCCTCTGGATGCGGTGATGGTTTTAGCCGCTTTATCGACAGTCAGCACTAACATATTCTCGTGTTCAACAAGAATGTTCGTTCCTTGGGCCGGCAGCGTTCCTGATACAGTAAGTGACGTAGCAGCCGCACTGATGCCTGCTGACAAAGACTGTAGCAGCCTGCGCCGAGAGGTCTGAGTCCAAGTGGAAGCAAGGACAGTTGTTGATTGCTCAATAAAGTTCACCGATGTGCCTTCCGCATGATTAGCAGCAAACGTTCCCTGGACTCCTCGAATGACACCCACAAGGTTGTTTGAAAGAGACTTGATCTGCACTCTTTCCTGTCCAATCGCGACAACGTCATTTAAGAACAACCCCGTTGCATCGTTGACAATCATCGATGTAGCATTGAACATAATTGCAGCTAACAGGATAGCATTCTTCAGCCCTGTTCTAGACGCAACTGTTACAACATCGCTTGAAGAAGGGATCTTGGGAACACTTCCGAACTGTCCTGGCTTAATGGTCAGCAGCTTTGAAGAAGATGCAATCACATAGTCAATCTCGTTGTTAACTACCACAAAGTCTCCTGGCACAATCTGAAGCTGATCGTTCACATAGATCGAATCATATACAGACAAGACTTTTCCTGCATTGTGTGGTTCTGGGATTAAAGCCCTTGTCACATTGAGTGAGTTAGAAGAAGTAATTACACTGTTGACCAGCATGAGCTCGGATTCCACCCTAACGTACTGTCCAGAGGAGAAGCCTGTGATTGATTGAACAGGAATTGTTGTGGTTACATGATCGATGCTTGACCTGATGTAAGTGGGGTTGCTGACAATGTAGATCACTTGATCTGCAGCATGCGAGGAGCGATTGGTGATGTTCGCGGACTCAACAGCCACAACACTGGACGTGGGAGCATTCCTCACATAGAGGACTTCGTCTTCTATCTGAATGTAAGTTCCTGCTGTCAGAACTGAGTATCCTGCAGTCTCAATGGAGGTTGCATTGTCTGTGATGTCTGCCGACAATGTCAGGATTGAAGAGTTTACTGTTGTAGGGCCATAAGCCTTCTGGACGTAAACTGCGTCATGAGTTTGTGTCGTAGAACCTTGTTGACCTCGTGTCACTTGAATTGAACTTTTTGTGAAGTTGGATACACCCAAAATTTCGTTGTTCACGAGTAGATAGTCATCGATTTGCAGACCCAATGCTGTTGTATCTGTGGGGATTGATGCGTTTTCACTGTTGAGTGAGGCAGACAACTGAAGTGCATCGGTTGCAACTGATGCTACGGTGTGGACAGGCCAATCGGTTGCAGATGTTCCGAACAACCCTCTCTTGATACCGATCGTGTTGCCGGAGATGGATGTGACATTCACCAATTCAGTTCCACGTGCTGTGCAGCCTCCCTGGCAGCACACGCCGACGTCTTCGCTGTGGCCGCAGTTGTGGCTGCCCCAGCCTCTAAAGGTGCAAAGCGGCAGCGCTGCCTCGCTTCCGCTGCATGACACGTCGTCCATCCAGATTGGTCCGCTTCCTCCTCCGAAGCTCTGTACCTGCATTGCTCCTTCCGTCGGGCATCCCAATTGCCGGCAAACTACTTGTGCGTTAGTGTCTGTGAAACTGTCGTCGCACACCGTGCCCCACGATCCTTCGTGCTTAACTTCCACACGGCAGCATCCGTCTTGACGGCAGTTCACAAGCCGAATGCTTGATGCGTCAGAATGCAACTCCATGTACTCGCCAACCTTCAATCCAACGGAAGAGCTCACCGTCATTGAGGTTGCAGTGCTTGAAAGTTGGGTGCTAAGAGCTGTTGGTAAGAGAGTTATGGTCTCGACATTCACAGCTCTATACTCTGCCCCTTTAGCATGTGAAGCTGCTTGAGTATAAGCCTGAGCACGGAGAACAGTAAACGATTTGGATCCCAAGGTAGTAATCAACATGATCTCGTTGTCAATCTGGATGTATGTATTCGCTGTAAAGCCCCTGGTCACAAAAACAGACAGCGTGGTTGCCGTTGCAGTGATGGATGCTTGTGTTCTAGCAACTGCAGCCAACGGGTTGTACAGCCCCACAAGTGAAGCAGCGGAATGTGCAGGCGTCTTTGTACCATCTGCCTGCGTGTATCCTCTGTGCACACTCAGCGTATTGGTCGCTGCATCAACGCCTGCCACAAGCATGAACTCATCATTGATCGCAATCGAGCTCTCCACTGCAAACCCAACTGCTGATGCTACATAAACCGTCTCAAGCACGCCTGCAACAGATGCAGGTAAAGCTTTCTCAAGTGCGGTTCCAGGATAGAACAACACGACACTAGCTCCAGGCGAATGTGCTTCTCTTGCAGAACCGCCTAGAGCTCTCTCGGTCACAGTGATAGTGTTTCCAGTTACCGTTCCAACCTTGAAGATCTCACTGTCAATCAAAATCAAGTCGTTGGCCTTGAAGGGAGACGCATCCTCCACTGGCAATTCAATGTTGGTGGTCGCCCTGAGGTCATTAGATTTCGCTGAGATCAAACCGGCTTGTTTCAAGCTTCGAGCAGCGATGTTGACGTTTAAGAATGTCTGCGGGGTAGGAACAGTAGGGTTTGAAAAGAAGTGCCTTGACTCATACAGGAGATCGACACCCGTGACCTCTCCTGCATGATTTCTCCAGACAGATTGATCCACAGACATGTCACCTGGCCAGAATGAAGGGAAAGGTCCTTGACCGTCAATCGACTTGGTGTCTTCGAAGAAGATAACCACTGTGGTGGATCCACACGACGCCCATGAGAGAACAAGAGGCTGAGATCCAAACGAGTACCCGTAGCCCCCGTCGACCACATAAGGAGCATTGGACTTGCGATCCCAAGTGATCACCGCAGCACCCTGACTCTGAGTAGTTGTCAAGGTCTTGGTTGTAGGATTGAGGTAGTAAGTCTGCGCTGGGCAGATGTAGGATGGATATTCAGCAATCCGCACAGTGGAGACAGACATTCCGCCTTGAAGCGCTGCTGCAACAGTCAGGCCTGTGGTCGAGCAGGGAGTGCTTCCGACGCTCACAAACGAGACTCTTGGGGCTGTGATGTACCCGGAGCCTGGGTTCACGGTTCGGATGGCAAGCTTGTACTGTGCGGCCTGTGCCGGAAGATCAGCGGCTGAGGATGGACTCTGAGAGAGGTAGCTGTCAACCCTCGCACTCTCTACGACGAGCTCGACGTGTGCGGCGACACCCGACCTGGACGTCGGAGGCTCCACGACAACTTGAGGAGGTGTGCACGTGGCAGACAGCAGGTTCTGCGTAGAGATGTAGAAGTTCAATGATCCTGCAGATGCCATGAAGCCTCTGTTTCGCTTCGCCGCGTATGCAGTGGACGATGAGTACTGGATTGCTGACTGTCCAGAGGAAACTCGCATCTGGAGCGTCTTTCGTGTACGGTAGTCATTAGAAGCTGGGTTGCTCGCCTGGCAGACTTGAATGTTCTTTCTGTTGACAGGCGAGAAGAAGGCGTTGGCGTAGGATGGCTGAGTGCACTGACCATTGAAGCATCCGCTCTCAAGAGTAGCTGTGGCCACGGCCTGTGTGGTGATGGTGCAGGACTTGCAGTCAAATGTAACAGTGGGAGCAGTGTCGTACCCGTATCCCCCCTGAGTCATGTACACGCCGTCGATGACCAACCCAACGCCCGATGCGAGATTAGTCAGCCGAGTCATATCAATCGCAAAGTACTGCGGGATGCAGTTTCCGGTAGCACCAGTGTACCCATCCTTGAGGAAGTACCTTCCGTCACTGAAGAGGATGTCGTACACATAAGGGATTGAAGCATACCCTGATCCCTGCTGGTTGATCTGTGAAGTCTTGAATGCAACACTTGTGATCTTGATCTGTAGCTGCGTTCCTCCTAATCTTTCAGGATAGGAGAACAACAAAACGACGTTGTCGCATCCTGTTGCTGTGGACAAAGTGCCCCCCTTGTACAACAGGACGTTGGTATTCAAGGTAATTACAGCCCCAGTCGCAGTTGTCCTTGGAGGAAACGACCATGTCGGTACACCCTTGGCGGTCGCGTACATGTTGGAGGTACCAAGTGGAGATGCAGTGAAGGTCACATTGGTTCCTTTGAAGGTGTATCCTGCTCCTGCGCTGGTGATGGTTACTCCAGTCACCCGAGAGTTCATGTAGGTAGACTGTTCCCATGTGTATGCTTCAGTCTGCCCATTCGAGCAGGCTTCGTTGAAACCTACCAAGACCGGAGAGTCCATGGCTGACGTGACCGGGTTGACAGTCTTGTACGAGTTTGAAGAAGATTGGGTCACCTGATAGGGGCTCACCCCTCTGAAGCTGGAATATGAAGTTGATCCCCCAACTAGAACATCGACATTCGAGTAGCTCAAGAAAGCTTCTGCTGATGCGCTTCCACAACCTGTGATGGTGACTGAAGGGGCTGAAGTGTATCCATACCCCGAGTATGTCACGTTGATTGACTGCAACACGTTGTTTATTGTTTTTGGTTCCGCCTGAGCTTGCGCTGTGCTCGACATTCCTGCCGGAGTGTCCACGGTAACTTTCGGATTGTTGCACGTGCTCCCAGCATTTGTCACGGCAATCGACACAACGTAGCCGGACTTGATCTCTGCTGAGCCACTAGCCGCTGTTTCAAGGGAAAACATGGAAACAGAAGAGAACTCAGAAGCGTAAAGTCCCGTCAGAGTGTCAGTCTGGTCCCTGTTCCATTCGTACAAGAAGGAGTTTCCTGTCTCATACCGCATCGCAATGGTAGACGAGAAGTTCTGTGAAATGTATGCATTTGCCTGTGCGTTGCATGTGGCAGGAAATGTGACCAAAGGAGCTGAGATGTACCCACTTCCCGCGTTCTGTAGGACTACTTGAGACACGCTGTTTCCATTCAGCAAGACGATGGCTGAAGCCTGCTGCCCCACGTAAGTCAATCCCGTCAAGCCATCAATATACGATCCCGAAGGATTGGGAGTTTCAATAGTTACAGTAGTTCCTGAGGGGCAGTTGTTTCCTTGTACTGCAACCTCAACTCGTCGTACACCTGAATTTCCCGACAACAAGAAGACTCCGTTGAAGTAGCTCGTCGTCCCCGTGCTGGTCACACACTGACCGATGAACCTCGGCGGGGTTGTGTATCCGCTTCCCGCGTAAGTGATCTCAAACTTGGAGGTGGTACCGGAGATGAAGCGAACCTCCGGCTTGTTTCCTCCCATGCTCTGAGGACCCTCCACGTACTTGATGCTGCAGTCTCCTGCGAGCGTTCCGCCGGTTATGACCATCCCCGACACTCCGTATCCCTTCACGTACGAGCTCTTGACCGGCAGCGTGGTTGCAAAGTAGTACCTCGTCGTGTTGGAAGCGTCGTCGGTAGATGGAGTGATGTAAGCATTGACGTCCTTGGGATAAGACTTGAACCTGTACCCAGGTATGGTGATCGACACAGACTCGCCAGGCTCCACCCTCGCGCTCTTGGCAACGATCAGCTCCAACTGGGTGTAGATGGTGTAGGGCTTGTTGGCTATGTCAACGTTCCGTGGCTTGTTGCCGTTCGAGTCGACCACCCAGTACACGCCTCCTGCTCCCTGCTTGATCAAGTACTCCTTGGACCCGATCATGGCGGTCATTCCTGTGTATTGGCCAACGTTCTCCTTCACGTTGATGCTACAGTCGCTCAAGAAAGACGATGGGAACTCCTGCCCCACAAGAAAGCAAGGGGTCGGCGAGTAGTACGGGTTGTAATCGAGGATTGTTTGTGTGATAATATTCTGGTTTGCCGAAGACATGATCACTTCGAACACTGGTGCAGACGTCACAGTGACACCAGTAGGGGCGGCCGACAAGATAACGGATGGGATAGAGACGTATCCACTCCCCTGGCTGGTGACACTGACTGTTGCAACGGACATTTCGAGCTTGATAGTTGGAGCGTTGGCTCCTGTACATGTCGCAGTTGGAAAGGTCGTGTACAACCCGGGATTAGTGATGTCAATCCTGTAGCGAACGTCTGTGGTAGATGCAACAATAGACATAACAACTTCAGCCTTCGCTGCAATTAACTGAGTTCCAGCGGTGGCAGAGAATGTAATGCTCTGGCAGTTTGCCAAGTCCCCTGTATGGAGAGAGAGCCTTGCCACCTGATAAGAGATTGAAGCTGAGGCAGAGCTTCCAGATCCGGCATCTGATTGAGAGATGGTTACTGTCTGAGCAGATGCCTGTGCAGTCACTTCATAGAGTCCTGCAAACTTGACCTTGATTGCGGTCACAGAGGACCCAGGTGTTGTCGATGCTGAGAAGGCGTTGTTTCTGCAAGAGATCTGCATGCCGACGTAATCGGATTGTGATGCTGACACAGAAGCGGTGTAACAAGCCTCGTGGGTGTATCCAAGAGGACTTGGTCCTGCAAACTGAACCTTCGACAGCGTGTAGGATGCCTGATCCCCAACATCATAGTCTGACGCTCCCCAAGGGCACTGCTTGTGGCTCCAGCAGAGGTCCTTGTTCTTCTTGTAGCCGTCATCAGACGGTGACAACACAAACACTCCGTCCACGTCTGCATCCCCAGAGCGATGCGTGTTGCCGTCAGCAACATACCCCTTGGACAGATACGCCCTCGCCTTATCTTCGGAGCTGCCAAACAACTCCCATTCTAACTGTGAGGTGAAGGTGGTGAACGCCGGGTTCGAGGACTGAACTCCAAACAGAGGTCCAGACTCTTCGACTTCGTATGCTG